AAAAAAAAAAAGAAACAAATATGGTATAAATATAGTTATAAAAAATAAAGAGGAAAAAGCAGCAACTTGTAGTTGTCATGAACCTTCGTGATGAAGGGCCACTAAAGAACAGGCACAAGAAGCCAGTTATGCATATGTATACATCATACTGATTCATTAACTGTAATGATATCATATACTGAATTATAATACATAATTCACTTGGTTCCTTATTTTTAAAAATTTCCTTTGTTTACTGATATTAGTCCACTTTCTTCCACATGTATCACCTCACTACCGTTCTTCTGTTTCCCAGCATTGTCAATCAAACAACTGGAAGTCGTTTTTATTTTCATACGTTGTATTACAATAATTACTTATCATGACTACAGTAACTTTTAAAATATGTTTTCTGATCTCTTAAATTTTCTCAGGATTGGACAATATTGGTAATTATTGAAGAGACAGTTAACTACATAAAATTAAGTAAAATTAAGATTTGGAAATAACCACAGGCAGGAAAAGTTTTTGTTAAAAGTAAACATGATGAAGAAGCACTAGGGATGGTGGAACAGGACATTGAAAATCTTCTCCTTCACAAAGGCAATGAAAACAGTCACAGAAATTGTCAAAACCAGCTTTCTTAGAACTCTGAAAATTAACCAGAGGCTCGCAACAATCCAAAGAGCGTGTATGCAAGAAAAATCCCAGTCTCAGTAAGACAGCAACCTTTGAAGCCTATCCTGCATAATTTAATAAGAAAGGAAAGCTTCACTTTAAATTGAATACCATCGGTTGGCAAATGAAGTTCTTGTGTGAAGCACAGGTAAAGTTGGAGGTCGTATTTAATACGTGATTCCATTTAGCAGTATATGAGGGCACTGCTGTTTTGAAGGAAAGATTGATAGTACTCTGCTAAGCATGGTTTATTTTGTTTATGATATAAAAACATACACACAAGGAAAACATGGGAACAAGTGTGGTGAAATATTAGAAGTCTGTGCCACAAACACCAACAGCATTTCCCCTGTCTAACAGTTGGATCTGGTAATGAGAGAATGCTGGAGCTGTGAAAATCGGGGAGTGAAATTGGTGACAGCACAGCTCACACTTGAGGGATTGCTACTTTCTTTTTCTTTTTTTTTTTGTTGAGACGGAGTCTTGCTCTGTCGCCCAGATTGGAGTGCAGGGGCGCAGTCTCAGCTCACTGCAAGCTCCGCCTCCCAGGTTCACGCCATTCTCCTGCCTCAGCCTCCCGAGTAGCTGGGACTACAGGTGCCCGCCACCACGCCTGGCTAATTTTTTGTATTTTTAGTAGAGACAGGGTTTCACTGTGTTAGCCAGGATGGTCTTGATCTCCTGACCTTATGATCCGTCCACCTCGGCCTCCCAAAGTGCTGGGATTACAGGCGCGAGCCACCGCGCATGACCTACTTTCTTTATTAACTATGATCAGCTGGTCAGAATTTTACAGGCTAGGTCCAGACCTGATGCAGGAAATCCCCAAACTGGGGCTTAGCCCAGCAGGGTTCTTGGCTTTGCTCAGGAAAGAATTTGAGGGTGAGGTGGTGGTGACAGAGGAAAGTGTGCAGCAAAATGGTAGCTGCACTGACAGCAGGGCCACTGCACAGGCAGAGTGGCCCAGAGCAGCACGCGTTGGTTGCTGGCGAGCATAGTTACACCCACTCTTAATTATATGCTAAATAAGGGGCAGGCTATTCATGAGCTTTCTGGAAAACGGGTGGGAGTTCCGGAACCATATAAGGTCACTTCTGGATTGTTTCCATGCATTTGTAAACTGTCATGGTGCCAGTGGGAGTGTCTTATGCAGATGAATTATAATCAGTACATAATGAGTAATGAGAGCAACCAGAGACGGCTTCAGCACCATCTTGGCCCTAGCTGGTTTGGGCCAGTTCCTGTGCTACATCCTGTTTTGATCAGAAGGGTCATGACCCAGGCTCTGGAAACAAGGCCTGCTGACCCCTGCCTCAGACCCCCTGATTTCTAATTTCTGATGGGTACTTGGTAATGTTCTGTCGCACTCTCTATAAATTTAATTTAAAACATGTATCTTATGATAAATACATTTTTAGCTCCACAGTCATTACTGCTACTTTGAAGCGGGCTGTTTTGACAAACAGGTTTAAGGCTTTCTATTCTACCTGCACATTACAGCCTCATCAAATGATCAGACCTTTCATCTATGACTTAAGCACATTCTTCTTGATAAAATGCAAAGCTGGTCATTGCAGGATGACATCTGACACCAGGAGTAAGCAGGTTTTGGGAATGGCCAGTTCACTATTGACTGTTGTTACCTGGTGGAAAAATGTCACAGAAGCATGTCTGGTGCCACTGACACCCAGCCTGCGATGGTCTTTGCAATCAGGAGGAGAAACTCATGGAAATCAGCTCAGCCAGGTGGCAGACTCTGGCTGCTGCCACGTACCTAGGGTGCTGGTGAGAGACCTTAGCATGATGATGTCTACAGCAGCTCCCACACTACTTAGTCCTTCATAACACAGGTGTCTATCAGGCTGGAGACGTCTTGTTCTCCCTGAGTCTCTGAGATACAGAATGGTCATTCATAGCATTTGTCCTGTGTATTTTACAAGGTTGCTTGGGAACAAATGATGCTGTGTAAAATAATAACCAAAGCTGCTGCTGAGTGTCCCCCAAGAGCGAGGAGCTGTGTGCGGGTCTTTCCTCTTGTTATCCAGTTCTTGCCGGCAGCTTTGTTTGCAGATGTTAGCGCAGCTGTGTCTCAGATAAGAGTGTGGGGATCCAGACAGATCAGTTTATGTGCAGTTGAGAGTTTGCACCAGCATCCCGACGGCTTCCAAGCCCACGCACTTAGGCCCCACTGTGAGCTTCTGTGTAGGAAATCTGTTAAGTGCTGCACACATTTGTAATAAGATAAAATACATTGCTTCTGCCATTTGTATTTACATATTTATTTTAAAGTTCTTTTTGAAATTGGAAAACAAAACCCAATCTAGATAGACTTGCCATTCATCCAAAACCTAGGCCGTGTTTGCAAGTATTCCGCGCTGAGACAACTTCCTGGCCTCTCACATTCATAAGAGGACTTTCT